TAGGCTGCAAGCGTTTCTATCATACTTATGATAGGGAATATGTCTAGGACTATGTCGAGACCTGATAACGTATTAACTCTACTACGTAAACATAACAAGAAGTTCACGTCGAGCCCGAAGAAATTGTTCCAAGGGACAGGGGGGTATTTGTTGTATTCCTATCAGGTTCTCCCACGATTCGACTTGAGCGCGGATGTAACGTGCTCGTTCCTTACAGACTGCCTTGCGTGGCCTGGTTGAAGAATTTTTCAGCTTGTCCGTAATGTAATATCATCTTCTGCAAGCATTCCTCTCCCGTCAACTTGATTATCATACTGCTCTCGTCCGCTGCTGTCCGCCACCGTCACCTCCCATAGCCATGACGTCCCCGTTCTCTCGAGTCGAGTCGTTCGCGCCGATCCTCCAAGAGCCCATTTGGCACCAGCACCATGAGCTAGAAGCCTCATCTGTCGAGGCGAGAATCAGGCTTGCATATGAGCGAGCGCGAAGTCTTATTAACGCAATCGGTTAGAAAACCTACATTACTCTTGAGGTGCGATCAACGCTAATGGGTAGTAACGTTCGTTTAGGAATGACAATTGAGGATATAGGCTCACTGAAGCCAAAGTTCTGGGACTTTCATCGTCATGGTCAGAGTTGATCCCTAAGCTATGTCATCACTTGGATGGTCTGGTGCTCATCTTTCACCAGCATTTACCCTCGACTCCGGTGCTTGGACCATCCTGACCATTCATTGGAATCTCTGTATGGGCACAGTCAGCTCATTTCTTCCTGAGCGGTCGGATCTGCTGCCTCTGCTCCAAGCCTTAGAGCGGTTCGATACATGCGGCGAGTTCTTGCTGACCGAGCTGGGCCATGGGCTGGACGTGAGAAACCTTGAAACCACAGCGACCCATCAAGCCGATGGCTCCTTTGTGCTTCACACCCCCAATCCTCGTGCAGCCAAGACAATGCCCCCAAGTTCTCCTCACTCTGGTATGGCGCGAACCGCTGTCGTTTTCGCCCGGCTCATGGTAGCTGGTAAAGACTACGGCGTACGTCCATTTATCGTGCCTCTGAACGATACGTCAGGTGCGATGTGCCGCGGCATTTCATGTACCCTATTTCCCGCTCGTCCAGGAGCCAAGGCCATCGATCACGCCTCAACGAGCTTTCACCACGTACCACTGCCGGCCAACGCCCTGCTCAGACATCTTCACGGCCCACCCGAGAACGAGCGAAAGGACTTTATGCGCGCTATCCACCGAGTGACCGTCGGCACGCTTTGCCTATCTACAAGCAATGCCACTGTCCTGCGCGTGTCGGGCTGCATTGCCGGTAAGTACAGCGCGAAACGGCGGGTCGGTGCGCCGAAGTCGGTCCCTATCATCTCCTTCAGCACCCAGTACGGCCCGATCGCACGGATCCTTGCGCATGCCGTCGTCTTTGACAAGTATGCGATCGAGGCGATACAGTTGTTCATCTCAAACGTCGGAGCCAGACATGGAGAACGTAATTGCTGGCATTTTCAAGGCTACCGTCCTCGACTATACGCAGAAGGCGCTGAGTGAGCTCGTTGATCGATGTGGCTGGCAAGGTCTTTACGCTTATAATTAAGTCAGTAGACTCCTCGTCCCGCAACAGAGATGTCTCCGCAAGAGCTAATATGTAATGACCTCTTCCAGATTAACGAAGTATGGCTTGCCGAAAAGGGCAATGGCATCGCCGAAGGCGACTTTGTGGTCCTCTGCATCCGACTCGCGAGTGAGATCTTTCTCGGGCGGTACGCACTGCCGAAACCGCGTGACCCGCAGTGTCTTCTGGCACGCCATGAGTCCGGAGTCTGGGACGAGGCCCGTCAGATATTGGCGTCTCTCCACGGTGGACACCGCGGTAAAGAATTCAATGCCCGCCTCCTACCACTGTCTCTGCCGTTAGTCCGTGCTACGGGCCAACGCATGGCATACGAGGCTGCCAAGGATGCTATGGTAGAGGGAAGCGATCATAGTCTCGGTATCACGCCGCAAGTGTTGGCCTTGTATGAGTCCACGTGTATGATGGAAGACCAGAGCTGGTATGTTGAGAACGGTATTATGTCGCGGCGGACGCTGCTGAATCGGGATGTCGATACGCTGAATTCTATGTTACCGTTGTTGGATGGCATGATCAACGACCCAGCAGTCGACGCCTTCATCAATGCGCCCATGGTTGATCAAGATAGACTGGCCGCCTTTTTCTCCAGCTTGCCATCATTTCAGGGGCCAGAAACCAAGTATTTTCATGCCAAAATATAAAAGCATTGTCACGGTGTGCAGCAAGGCCAGGGGCTGCACGCGACAAGAGCCCATGAGGCCGCGACAGAGTTCACACGTCGGTTTCATCGAATCACGATGTCATATCGCCATCGCTGCAATCGGCAATACATAAATGATTGGGGACATAGAAGGGCTCGGACGCTCCCCGCTTCTTCAAGAGAAACATGACCTATGTATGAGTGCTTCAAGCGAATTCGGAATTGCGCAACTCCAAGGACCACAATGCACTAGATAATAATAGATATAATATGCCCTTCTATTGAATGATTTCTCATAACTAAAATATTGCCTCACCGTGCAGTCCGTCCAGCTTAGTGTTGCGACACGGCTCAGCGCTGGCGCACTTCGAGCCCTCGTGGAGAGTGACGTGATTGGTCGTCAAGCGCCAGCATGAGCAGCATACAAGGAAATGCTTGACAGCATTGAAAAGACCGGTGGGCTGGGCCGTGTTTAGCGCCTGTCGCGAAGGCTAACTCCACAGGGGCGAGGAGCCGGACGTCGTCCGCCGGCCTGGTCTGCCGTAGTGATTTGATTGATTGATCGATCTGCGAATACGTTAAAGGACTATGGTCCTACGTAATAACAGGCGAGTGAGGTCTGGCAAACGAGATACATATATAAGATGCCCTGAGAACGCCTGTCATATCGAACACGATCGCATCGTACAAGCACAAGCACAACTTTCCTCCATACTAAGAAACTTCTACCGTCAAGTCATTCAACCCTCTCTCACAAAACCCGTGCCAGTCTCGAGCTCGAACAAGCCTAAACACATCCAAAAAATGCGCGCCCCATCTCTCACCGCCTTGGCTACCACTGCCGCCGCTTTGCCCAGCGCAACCCAACGCCGCCAACCGCCACAGTCGTCGTCGAGGCGGCGCATGCTGCTGGATACAACGACCGCGCCAGCGTCACCATCACCATCACCGTTCCGATAGGGCCGATATATGTTAAGGAAGAGGCCTTCGGGGCCGTCTCAACGCTGTACTTGCTCGGCCCGCAAATGGCGACATGCAGCCCTTTCAAGGCGCAGAACGGCACCGTAAATAGCGTGCCGTTCGCTGTCGACCACCCCTCGCCGCCGTCAACCAACAGCGTCGTCGTCTACGACTTGGTTCGCACGCTCCTGTGCCTAGCTTAAATGCGCCCGGGCGATAGAGCTACACTCAGTCTGACGGCTTAGCTCAACGCTAGGATGCGTAAAGCGCTCAGGGCCTTACCTAAGACAGTATCACTTTACTACATTTAGGTATATAATGATAGCGCTCATGACAGCACTTTGAAAAGTACAGTAGCTCAACCAATGTAATTCCGTGTTGGTCGGTTGGAGCAACCGGATAAAGGGGGGAAGGATTACACTTGTAATGGTATTCTTCTATGGGACAATCAGGTAGAGAGGTAAAGAGACATTCACATGTGTTTGAAGGCATGCAGCATCTCAGGGCAAAATGCTTTTTCTGCATTCGACCTACACTCCTACCACATCTTGCCCGCTCGCGATGTGATATAACTCCGAACTCGCCAGACAGCATGTTTCGGAGGGTCCGCGAACCCATCGACTGTTGTTGACACCTAACTATAGCCTAGTAGCTAGTTACCCGTCGTCGGCAAGGCTTAGTACAGGTGTGCCCATGTCTCGGCTCATGACAGCTTGGTTGGTGCGATATCTCCACTACAAGGTCACCCATTTCAATTAAAGCACTACTCGTGAAGTCAAATGCAGCAATATTAGCCTCAGAGTTATCGGCGAGCCAGTTACGCGGCTCGACAGCTATTTAAGATCGACACCATAGTTGGAGAACTGTCTCACTCCGTCAATATCATCAGCCACGGTTCCTAAGGCACGCGCCAGGCTCACCGCCGATACTCGGATTACGATACCGACCTACACTTCAACTCTCTCCACGAGGCGGAGCATTGTAACACCATCGGCGACTACATCTTCCGTGGCACCATCCTGCGAGTGCCGAATGGTTACCTAGCCGGGAACGTGCGTAAAGTAGGCAGAGAAGGGACGGCGTGTGACCTCTGGAGCCGCGTGGCCTTGTGTGATCTGATGGTGACGTTGTGACACCGACCAGTACCTAGGTAGCTGGGCTCTCTCGACCGAGGGCAAGGGCCGAGCGGGACCGCAGTACAAGTCTAGTAGCGCTATGAGATCGACGGCATTAATCTGAGCTATGTCGGGGGCGTTCCTGCCACTTGGTTATTACTATAGTATATTTCCAAGACGTCTTGATAGGAAATTGCGATTCGGCGAGGACTGAGTTGGTCATCTGTGCTGATGGTACGCTCTTAAAACCTGACTGCCCTTAATGTCGCCGAAATTAATATGTGTTTTCAACTTGTTTATCTTATATAATAGTCTCTATTTGATTTACCTACTTGCTAAGGCTCAGTAAGCCGAATTAATGCTGCATTTATTATTCCTATTAGCCCGTCTCTCCGCATTTTACCTCAACTGCAGTAAGTTTTCTGTGTTCTAAGGTGAAAATCGATGCACTATATCGATTATTATATATGAGCGATTTATGCTTGAAGGACAATATTAATGCGAAACAAGTCCTCAGCTTAGCAGGAAGCTGATCATGTAGAAATAATCCTATAATCTTAAAATCTGATATCCGGATCTTGTTGGGCTGTATGTGTTTGTTATATAATTAATTATCTCATAGAATTTACAGACGCGGAGTTGGCATCTTCAAGTCTCGATTGGTCTAGTGGTAAGGATACCTGCTTGTCATGATAGAGTTTGCAGGTGGCCGGGGTTTGATTTCCCGATCGAGAGCATTTGTATTTTGCTGTTCCTTTTTCTCTCTCTTTTTTTACCCTCTCACCTGATTTTATCTTTCCTCCCTCCCTTTTTCCCCAGGCTATCAAAATGCTGGGGCGTGGAGGTCCTCGAGATTGCAATATTAATATATTAAACTTCTAGACTCTCCGTCGATCTTACCGCTCTTTCTCGCAAGAGACAGTGTGACTCAATCCATGAACTAGATGCCCTTATTAGAATGATCAGTTAATGCACTCAGTACTCCATAGCCTATGTTTTCTCTGTTCTTAATAGCCCAATGCTATTAGTATAGGTAATAGGTTAGCGCATATTATAGGCTTTACTGTATGCTCGGGATCTATTGGGTCCAAGTCATGGTGTAAACAGATTTTGGCATCACTCGAAGGACTTGAAAACGCCACTCCGATAATAGTTAGATGTGCGAAAAAAAAAAAAAAAAAAAAAAAAAAAATACCCCTTGTGTAAATAACTGCATCGTTGATGCGCGCGCTAAAGAAACTTCGCTGGGAGTATATGTCTGTTCTGGCTATATCTCGGACTTGCTTCGTGTATTATGGTGACCCTCTCAGGATATCCACAAGCTTCGTGAATTTGGAGAGAAAGTTCTCTGGAAGAGATCCCTTGAGTTCCTTATCCTATTAGACATATTTGAGAACTTTCTCTCTGAGAAACTCTTGGAATCGAGCCCATGTCCTAAGATGACCCGGAAATATTCACGTCTGTTAACATCCCCCGGATTGTCACAGATTCCTTTCAATTTTTTATAGCATTCTGAACGAGTAGATTTCGGCTGCATACCAGGAGTACTCTCTCATGACATGCAGGCACATATCCCTAAAATCACCGTTTTCTCTCCACGGCACAATGACCTGAGACAGGGGAACGGTGAGGAGAGTAATAGGGAGTAAAGCGGTAGATATAAGAGTAGCAATTCTCCAGAGGAGCAGTTCGATAAAGGTTAGAAACTCGAAGTTCCAAGCTATTGCGTGGATACTTCCAAACGCCGCAGTTAGGATCGTTAGCATATAGAGAGCGTAATGTGTGTCGTGTGCTTTAGCTTTCGGTATATTGTCATTGAAAATGCGGTCCAAAGGTTGGTTGCTGCCAGATTTGGTAGAACAGCACTACATTCGGCATCCGACAACAACCACACGCGGGTCGTTAAATTACTTCTTGAAAATGATGCCAGCGTTGATCTACGAGATCGATCTAGACAAACAGCGTTATCTAGATCAACCTAAAGAGGATGGGACGAAATAGTGACGCTCCTGCTCGAGCACAGAGCAGCATATCATCTATCAGATCGGAATGGAAACACGGCGCTACACTCGGCAGTTGAAAACAACCATGAGCCAGCCGTCATACTGCTTCCAAAAAGAGCGTAATAATGGACAGTGTCAGTAGGAGTGGAGACGAGTACTTGCATAGCAGAATTCATAGTGTATTTGAGGATAATTAGAAGGGAATAATCTACCCGTTGGAGACGGGGGGAAGAGGGAGCTACATATAAGTATGAGAGTGGAGTGTATCCGGCTCACTTACTTCAACAGACAGCGAGTCACTCTCTGTGGAGATGAAGTGCAGGTTCCAGAACGACAATATCGGGAATCGGTAGGATGGAATAACATGTTGGGCAGCCAAAAAAATAAGGACACAAAATTAACCCGATTGCTGCATGAGAGAGGGTTTGAAGGTTCCTGGTTTCAAAGTCTAAATCAAGGGACCGTTCTTCAATTTATGGCAGGGAAAGCCGATTTGGATACAGTAAATTACCTTTTGGAAGCCGGGGCTGACCCTAATGCTGCTACTGCTTAGTATTACGGTCGAACAGCTCTTGAAGCTTCAGCCGAAAGCGGCCACGGAGAAGTGGTAAACCGCCTTCTAGAGGCTAAAGTTGACCCAAATGCCTTTACCCTAGCCAGCCGGGTGGTCCTTCACTATGCGGCCGAATACGGTCGACTAGAAGTGGTCGACCACCTTCTTAAGGCTGGGGCTAACCCAAATGCCGCTACTCATGATGGCAAGACAGCGCTCAAATTTGCAACCGAAGGGGACCACCTGAAAGTGATAAAACGATTGCGTGAATCCGGAGCGTTATCGAAATAAGTTCGGAGATCTCTCTGTACCAAGGCTTGTTAAGCACCACGCTCTTCTATTCACTTCGTTCATTTTTTCTTCGACATTTCTTCAATTGTTGAAGGTATATTGCACTGCGTATATCCCAAATATCCACATGATTCCCTGGAGATGGTAGTGATCAGTTGGTTTTCTCTTTCATTCTCCTAACTCAATTGGCCTACCTATTTGGTACTAGCCTTCTTGCTATATGAGATATTGGCACGGCAGGCACTAGAGGATGAATGGGATTCGAGGCGTTTCATACAAGCACAAACCCAGTTTTCGTAACTAAATCTTGACTAATTGGACGAATTCTGATGACATGGGGTGATAAGGTTGAGGCACTGTTATGGCTGCATGAGTGGATTGGTCCATGTTTAGTATTAACCGGCGTTATATTAATCCCCCGCCGTTCTTCTATGTGATGTAACGTCCCTTTCTTGAGACGCTTGAGCCATCGTAGTGTCGTAGAAATGTCGTAGTTTCCGACTTCCCGCTCTTAAGTAACATGATGTTGCTGGGCTTATTTCAACTTAGAAGGACGACCTCCACATTTCAAAATGTATATGTTATTTGTGTGATCTATGAACCAGAAAAGCTTTGTATAAACACGGCGAGTACGTTTATCTATATAGCTTATATAGTAAGCAAAACATATATACAATTTGCAAGTTCCAAAAATTCACGACAAAGATAGTAAGTGTTGGGCTCAATTTAGGCGGTGAAGATGTGGCCTACTAGTCCGCTTGCAGAGTATATTCTTCATACAGCGGGCGGGGTTGTAACCGCGCGCCCCCAAGGGGGGGGGGCAAACGGCATCGCTAGAGGCTTAGGCGGACGAGGTAGAGTCAGGGGGGCCACCGCCCATTCCGCTACCGCTGCTCTCGTTCTCAACACCACCCTCGGCGTAATAGAATGCAGCGGGGGTAATGCTCTGAGCCTGGGTAGTGTTGATGCCGAAAGCCATCCAGGCGAAGATACCGTCTGAAATGCTATCGCCAATGAGCGTGTATTCGTGGAAGGGGTCGACTCCCTCGGTGCTAGTCTCCTCCTCTAGGATAGAATCATCAGCGTTAGTAGTGAGCTCCTGCTGGTTGGTGTTGTAGGGGGCCGTAGTCTCAACGGCGGAGATCAAGGACTGGTCGAAGAAGCTTTGACCGACGTGGCTGGCGGAGACCTCGTTGCCCAGGGTTCCGTTAGCGTAGACGGTGGCGTTGGTGTGGACCATCAAGTGGATGTGGGTGGCGCGGGAGGTGTAATGGCCGGGGAAGATGGACTCGAACTGCACAACACCGTCGCTGTCGCTCAGCTGTATACCGCGGAGCCAAGTCTTGTCGATGTTGCTCTCATCCGAAGAGTCACCGTTACCGGAAGCAACAATACCAGAGTAAACACCAGTAGCGTTGCAGTGCCACATCTCCAGGTAGACGTTGGGAACGGGGTCGCAGGTATCGACGTCAATGATCTGATAGTCAATGATGGTATCGACACCGCCCTGGTCCTCGATGATGTTGCGTCGGATGTACTCGCCACCAACGTCTAAACACCTGGTTAGTTGCATGGCTAAGTTTTAACCGGCACCTCTTCCGTGCTAATGAAACTTACAGTAAGGACCCTGGGTCACCTCTGGGGTCAAGACACAAGAGCTGTTGCCGCTGAATAGAGTGGCGGCATCAGTGTTTGGGGTGTAGCCCAGTTCAGTAGAGTTGTGGGAAGTTTCCAAGAGAGTGTCAAGGTCACGCTTCTTCAAGCCTCTCTTGGCTCGGGCCTTTTCGATGGTAGCAGTTCGGCGTGCAACATTTCGCCCGGTAACACCGCGAGCTATGAGTTTGTCGGCGCAGTGGGAGAGATCGGCGCGCTTGACGGAGCCGAGGAACTCACGGCGCTCAGCGATCTCTTGAGTTAAGTCATGACCGGGGTGGGCGAGGGCGGAGCCGGAAAGGAGGGCTAAGCCGGAGATAAAATACTGGGTAAAATGCATTCTGCTTGAGGACGAGAGACTTCCGATTTAAACTATGACGGGAAATCGGATGAAAGAGAGACTTGTAAAAGGATGAGACAGAAGTGATTGTGACGTGAGGATTGTGGTGATGAACCAATAGACAAAACGACCTTTCGAGGGATGGCGGATTCTTTATTATATATTCCTCGATCTCCTCGATCTCCCCTAACTCCCTTCATTCAAAGCTCACATACATAGCCTCTTCACGTCGACTATAGTGTATTCTCTCTTCTATAGACCGACGTTAATAGTGGACCTCTTACGCATGCGCACTCGTAAGGCGGCATGGGGAGAGGCTCCCGTGTCCCGCTAGCATTGCTGTTCAACTACCTAGGTACGTGTACCTCACGATATTCAGGAGAACAGGTAAGGTGCAGACTGGCAAATGCTGGATTGGCCGTTGGCTGGGCGGCATTGAGGGACGCTAGTTGTCAAATAATTCTCCAACATCATCCTAATACATCTGAATATTGGACATCTACCTAGGTGAGTGTTAACAGAGCTATTCGTCATTTTCACACCGTCACGAATTATAGAGTCATAATACACTAATCGCGCTAAGGCGCTTCCCCAGTCTTCCTTGCCGGCAGCTATCACGGAATTGAGTGTACAAATTTTCTACTAAGTATGTTTTATACATTGGCCAATCACGAGCATCGCATAAGTCAGATATACAAGGGTTCCTTCTTGGGAGAACGCTAAGGACCAAGCACCATAGCCGCAGTCCTTTGACGCTGTTGATGCGACGCTAGCCACTAGGTTCCAGATAGAAAGCAGTGAACCAACCAGGCCATCCCGATTTCAAAAGCCGTGCTGCGCTGTGGCAAGGCGTCTCGGGATGTGGGCGTCTAGTCTAGGTACTTACCCGGTGGCT